TGTATGTATGGATCACTTGGGTTTTTACCGTCATATGGTGAAAATTTCATGTCATTAGCACCTCTAGTAATATATTTACTGAGAAAAATGGTGACGTGTTCAATACTTATTTTACCTGCTATATTTTGTTATTTTGTGTAAAATAACATTTATTTGAAATGTTAAGAATTAATTTCAGATTAGAGTTGTTGTTAGACAGTAGCAGTCCTTTTGTGTCTTGGCCCCACTCAGACTAGCCATTAGCTCATCTGCTGAGTCAGCTTCAGAAGGTCTGAACTATCACTTTAACAAATAAGGCATGACTGGTTTATTTCTTTTATGGTAATAATGTCTCAAAAGAGAGTGTGGTAGCCATGATCACCAGTACACGTACCTGTTTCCACCTCCTGTGTGCCTGATGTAACTCAGATATCTGACCTCAGGTTTAAAAAAACCACTTCACTCTGTCCTGAATGCTTCAAAGATAGGTTCGTATGAGCTGGCTGTTGTCCATGATGCTACCCTCTTCAAAATAAAAATAAAAAAAGAGAGAGAAAGAAAAAGAAAAACCTAACACACTGATGGCTTGTTTGAGATTTCTGTTTTGACAGGATGTCAGCGCATCTTTTTATTATTTAAAGAGTTAGGACTGAAACTTGGGATTCAGAGAAGCCAGAGCCAACAACACCCACTATAGCTGCCTCGCTCTAACAAAATTGTTTGAAACTGATGTCTGACATTGTTGTCCTAATAGTAATAGTTCAACTGTTTTGTAGGAGTCACTAAGCAGATACAAAGGTTGCACACGTGTTTCCTCATCTTGAAACCATGAATTTTAAACAGTTGTGGTGGTGTTGTTGTTTTTTTTACTAACAGTCTGAAGGGAAACTGTTTTACTTCCTGTTGTTGTTTAGAGGATTGTGTTTCTGTGTGTCTTTATAGGATACAGAGGTCAAAAAGGAGAACGAGGACAGGTTGGGCTGGGGTTGCCAGGAGATCCAGGACCCACGGGGCCACCGGGTAAGAAAGAAACACAGGAATCACGCTAGTTTGAAAAACTAATTGAACGTAAAAAAGAAAAAAAAAGTTGAGTGTGTTTGGAAGCTTATGGTCCATTAGAGGCTTGAAGAAAAGCAGCATGAGGCTTGAAGAAATGACACTTTTTACATCATCTTTCAAAAAAAAAGGTGTCCCAGCAGGCTCCGTCTGAAAATCATCTTTCACGGTTTTGTGCTTCAACGCTTGAGTCCCTTTCTTTAGTTTTTATTTAAAATAAAACAGCTGACAGCCAACTCACTCAAAAAACACACACAAGAAAAGTGCTACAACTCCGACAAATTTACAAATATTGAGCTAAGATTTGGTGTGGTTGTTGATGAGAGTTAACCTCAACATACATTCTAAGCCAGTGGTGCCATTGCTGAGCATCACTTACAAACAAAACTTGAGCTCTACATGGCATTTCCTGCATGGAAACGGCGTTTTAACACCTCATAAAAACTGAAAGGTACTACGTGCACGACTGACTAAATGTGAAATAAATAATACAGAAAAATTAATAAAAGTAAAGGTAAGGAAGTTTTACTCACTGTTGGGATGAGGTATACCGTAAATTCTGAACCCTCTCACTTTCCGACAGAAAATTCCCATGCACAATCAACATGCATTAAGGGAAATGTAGTTTACAGTACATGCTGGCTTTAAAGCAGCTTATTTTGAGATATTAWTACGGGGCTTTCAAGTAAATTGCTCACACAGGCCACAGTTACTCAAAGACAACACCTCAGGGGCCGTAAAAGTATCATCAGCTTTTAAATGAATTTATTTTAACACATTAAATCACAATATCAAGTTTATCATTGATAAACAAGCTATTTTCACATTAAATTCAGTAAAAWAATGTTTTTCTTTGTTATGGCCTGAGGGCCTTATAACTCCATCAATTTAAGATCTTATTTTGAAACTCTAACAAAGACAGTGGGTATTAAACATTCATTCATGGATTGCTTGGCCTTTAACTGCTATCACATTTGACACTATAAAATGTAAGGAGCACGTTTGTTTTTATTTTAGCTGTCAATTAAGCACTCAGAATCTGACAAGTATGTCAAAGTGAAGGAAGCTGTTTGGGTTAATTTGTAAGAGCACTTTTCAGAGCTGCCACATTGGTGTCAGAGTGACCAGAAGCTGCATTTACAGTCCTCCTCCTCCACGTTCAGCTGCTTTTTGCACAACTTTTTCTGCTAAAAGGAAATAAATGTTACTGGGCTTGTGTTCGGATTCTAGCCTAATAGCTTGTTTTTGTTGCTTCATCTTTTTGTTTCAGCTCCCTAGTTGCATTCTGTTTCAAAAAAAAATCTTGCAATATTTTATTTAAAAAAAAAAGGCATCCCAGCAGAGGAAAACAAACCGCTGAAATGGAAAAATTGTATACTCTGAAAACTAAAATCCCACTTTCTTATTGTCTTGAAAAAAAAAGTCATGATGTTCGTATGTCCCCTGCTGATAAGYGAACCAGGAATACTTTTCTGAATTTGAGCCCGCCGCAGCAGGAGCTCATCACTGAACCTAATGTTGCTCATGTATGTGTGCATAATGTACYTGTAGGAGGGGGGTGGGGGGCTGGCTGTAGCTCCTCTTGAGAAGATAAATCACAGCTGTTAAAAGAAATCATCTCTAGAGGTGCACAGTTATGGAAAGCACCTGCAGCATAACTGCTGYGGGTTAGACTTAAGCTGGAGCCACGACGTGGAAAGAGTCAAAAAGTTCTTAAACCAGCCGATATGAATGCAGGTCCATAGCTCTTCTTTTCCCTACGCTCTTAGCTTTACAAGCCTCTGCAGCCTACAGCAGCAGATTATTTTTACCGACTGAAATTTTCCTCCATCATAATGAAAGATCGCTTGTATCCTTGGCATCAACACAGAGCGGGTTCCCTTTGGACTCGTGAAGACTGGGATGTATGAGTCACACACGGAAGATTCCTACAACTGTGTTTCGTCGATTCAGATGTTAGGAAGTACAAGTCCTTGTTGTAAGCTGCAGTGTTAGTGAAGAAGATTCAAGACTAAATCAGTGAGTGAATTATTTTTTTAAACCAAAGTTTCTGTCTGATGTTTTATCCTCTCACTTCGATTACGAAAAATAATGACGTTAAAAGCCTAGCATTCTGTGAAAGTTTTCATATCGTATCATTTTTTAATCCGTAAAGGCCAGGACTGAGAAATAGCATTACGAGCTCAGCAGATGCGCGGTTTCAACAGTTGTTTGCTAGTTGTTAGTGATGTGCAGATCGATACTGAAATATTGATACTACCGATACCTAGGGTCGGATTTATAAAACTGGCGTACGCACAATTTGAGCCCAGAAACTTGCGTACGCCACTTTTTACGCCAAGGTTGTGATTTATAAAATCCAAACTTGACGTGAAAATGTGCGGTGCCTCACGCCAGCTCTGACCCATGCGTACGCTCATTTTGGAGACGTGAAACTGTGACACAGATGGTGAAGTGAGGAATTAGAGCCACACTGTGTAATGATCACTGTCAGATATTTAATTTTTTACCTTCATCAGACTTAGATTTTTATTCAACTTTATCATCAGCTTTCTTAACAGTATTATTTATGCTTCTGCTGCTGAGCCATGAGGACCTTTGAAATAAAAAAAAAACTTAAATCTTAAATAAAAGTTCCCGTGCGCAAATCCCTTCATCTGCTTCCTCCTCAGACGACCCTGACCCACAGACCCCTCCCTGACCCACAGACCCCTCCCCGACAAGAACAGCAGGACAGCAAAAGTCACGCTTTGAATACACGCACGCGCAGGGCGCATCCACCTCACCAGTGTGGATGTTATAAAACTTCACGTTTAAAGTCCGTATTTGTCACGCGCGCGGGGAGGGGGGGGGCGCGCGTGTGTGTGTGCGCGCGTGCGGGATGGGGGTGTCTGCCACGGATAACAGAGCAGGCAGGAGGGGGTGAGGACGAGGAGAAGAGCAGTGAACTTATTTCTAATTTTATCTGACAATTTTATTTTTATTGTTTTTATCGTCCTGCAGGCTCTGAGAGAAAATTTATTTGAAGCTGTTATTTTTTATATAAAAATCGTTAGATTACTCTAAAGCAAAATGAGGGAAAATCTGTGTCAATTACAGACATTCTGTTCACGTGAGCAGCTGTCAGTCAGCACCTGTCATCCTCCAGACTCATGACGGAGCGTGTCTGAACCAATCACTTTTGTTGGCATTGATCAGCTGACTGATTTAAATACATCTTAACATTCATGAGGTACTTTGCATTGACTGTTTATGGTTGAGTGTGGGCGTGTAGAGGGTAGAACCTAAGGCGGGACCTTGTGCGCAAACTCTGATGTGCGGCTGTTATTTATAAAGGAAAGATGCGCAGAAACGTGCGTACGTACGGTTTTATAAATCTGAATTTTTTGGCGTACGCCATTTCTGCCTTTTGGCCGTACGTTCACTTTTAGTATGGTTTCCACGCAATCCTTTATAAATGAGACCCCTGAACTTTTTGTTCTAGAATCGATACTAAAATCAAAATATTGATACTTTGATACTTTAGTTATTTCACATAATGTATTTCATAAACAGGAAAATAGTGGAAAACAACTAAACAATTCAAATCATGTCTAAATCATATGTGGTTGGAGGGAACTACTTTTTCTTCTGCTGGAGTAATACATAAGCACAGTGGCACGTGTTCAGRCAGTCAATCAGTCTGTAGATGTACGGCAGGTCATTTCGTCTCTCCTCCAAGAGACTTCTTCAGTCTGGTGAGTTTCAGGTGAACTCAGCCTTATAAGCACTGCCTCCACATGGACAAACAGGTTAGTCACATGCAAAAGAGGGCCATCATCTAACAATAGAGATGAAACGTTTCACTAAAGAAGAACCCATCCAGAGGACCTACTTACTTTTTTTCTTTTTGATTTTTTTCTACCTGGATTACTGAGATGCATCAGGACGTTATAACATGATATAAAGCTCAAAAAACATGATTTTACTTGATATTGRCCCCTTTAACAAACTGGATCACATGTTGCATAAAATCTAACAACAATCAAGGAACCTAAGTGGATAGGACGGTGATGGAAGGAGAAAGTTCTGTTATAAAACTGAAATTAAGAGCTAAGCTGTTTCCTTCAATCCAACTGAATAGCCAGCCTTATGGTGTTAACATAATAACAGGCTTTTAAGATAATCTCAAGACGTGAACATGAACAGTAAGAGGCCCTAAAGCAAAGTGGTCTATTTTACCACTTAAACAAGCTGTAACTAGATAAGATTATATACTAATGTCTCACCTGCAGAGATGACCTCAGCGTGTTCGAGAGAGACGAATCACATTTTCTCTTTTGTTCGTTCTCATTAGCGCAGCTGATGAATACATCCTTTGTGAATTAAATATTCTTCATAATGAAGAGTTTTCTAAAGCAGATGTGGGAAACAGCTGCAAAATTGCTCACCGTATATTGTGATTTATGAGTGTTTCTGTTGATATGCACTGAGTCATTGAAACTTTCCTTACTTTTCTGTAGAAAACGAACCAAAACTAAGTTACTAATAGTTTGATTTGTTGAAATATTTAACAAAAACAAAGGCTGCTGTTTTAGTCAGTTAATATAATTCTAATAACTAATACAGAAAAAATGCTTTTTGTTCACAACTTTGGTCATCAGAAGTTGTGTTTTAAAGCGAATTCTCAACTACTTCATATTTTGGCCTCTAACCTTTTTTGTTAATGTATAAAAAAATTAACTTGTTCCACAATGAAATAACTGATTTTGTTGTGTTTTACAGTTTTATAAATGTTACCATTAAACATAATGTTTTGTCATTTTGTTAAGGGATTAAAAAGAACTGGGACTTCTCAGTGTTTGAACTTGATTCATCAATCTAAAGCAAACAAATCTCTTGTGGACAAACACAGAAGAGATATGCAATATAAAAAAACACAATCACACCTGAATCTAGGGAGTGTGACAGACAAGCTGATGCATTAGTTTCTTTTTTTGTGCTCCAGGAGGAGTTTTTGATCAGTTTCAGGGTGTTGGTCGGACACATTTTCCTGCTGAGGAAGGCCATATCTGTCAAGGAATGCAGTTGCTATTGAGCTGTGTCAAAGTGACATCAGAATGGATGCAAAAGCCCAAGGATTTTATCATTCATCTTGTCACAAAGTGATGACTGTTAATCACTTTATCTCTCAGAGGTTTTGTTGTTATTGCTGTTGATCTGTGCCTTAGGGGTTTAAACCAGTGATAAAACTGTTTACTTCCATGTCACTCCCTGAGAAAAGCTTTATTCACAAAGATTTACTTAGACTATTCTAAACTCAAGAGTTTTTGTCTGAATGAGGAGTGCGTGGCTGTTTGTGAAAATGTGCAAAACTACAGTTAAACTCAGGGCTGGCCCTAGCCAATTTGGTGCCCTGGGCTAGATTTCAGGGGGCACCCCTTGTGCAGTTTTCTAAATCTCACTGCCAATGTGTATCCGTTCACATAACAAATTAAAAAGTTTAGCAATGAAAATCYTATTTAACTGAATTGCATTATCCTTTTTTTTACACATTGAGCATCATGAGTTAGTTTTGACTGGATCATACAGTACTTTTATCTTCGTCACCATACAGCACCTCGTGTAATTGTAATAAACATGTTGATACTGGAAGTCAAGACACGAACCACGAGACAAATTCTTCTTTTTTTTGGATGGACGAGACAAATTCAGATTTAGACTTGAACATTTACTTGCAAAAAATAAAGGTATTTAATGCCACCAGGTCCAGCTTTTTTCAATCTCAGGATGTTCTAGTAATGCATCGTGAATAATAGCAGATATTTACTCATCATCTTCAGAGTCTGACCATGCCCCATCGGAACGACCTTCTCTATCTAGTGGCTTGACCGTTTTACAACTTTCTGAGTTCTTTATGAGAAAATACTCTGCCTGGCCAAAAAAATGGCCACCTGGATTTAACTAAGTGCTATGATCTGAGGTTGGTGCAGTTGGTCAGGTCTGGGTTCAGCAACAGTATGTACTCAAAGAATGAGGTCAGCTGACCACCGACTATAATGAACAACCAGGTTATTAAAACACTTTACCTTCATAAACTTGAGTAACCTGTGATTATTCTACAAACTAAACCAACTATACTCTAATAAAAATTTATAATTTTTTTTGTCCCTTAATTGTGGCACCCCCCCAGATGGACGGCGCCCTCAGCATACTGCCTATACCGCCTATGCCACGGGCCGGCCCTGGTTTAGGCATCGTTAGAATCTAACTCTGGGTCCAGCCCTTTGCACTAACTAATATATCAAACCTCTTTCTCTCCAGGCCCACCTGGGACCACCTCTCGGGGACCTCCTGGCTCTCCAGGACCCCGTGGACCTCCTGGCWCATGTGATCCCAGTGACTGTTTTTTCCCAGCCTCATAAGCCAAGCGGAGTTTGATAGGAGCCACACTGAGAAGAAGACCGACCAGCTCGCCGTGTCCAACCGCTTCCTCAGCTCGTCTTAATCAAACCGACTCACATCTGACCTCTTCTGTTCGCGTCATGACAACATGTGGTAGCTGTGGGGTGGGGGGCGGGGTTACAGGACTGCTGTTGTGTTTTGAACGCAGCTTGCGTGTTGCTGTACATTTTGGAGCTATTTCTTTGTTTTTTTTTCCAACCCTCACTGTGACGTGATGCATTCCTTCCGGACTCTGTCGTTCAAAARCATTTCGCCAAGTTCAGCCCCGTCTAAGAACCGCAACCCTATTGGTTTGCCTCTTTAACGGGCGTGTCTATGCACTCTTCTGTTGTTGTTGTTATTTTTTTTTAAGATAAGCCATTGTGCTGATTGAAGATACAGCTCGTGAATTTCTGAGTTTATGKAAACGTGAATGACAGAAATGCTGAGATTAACCGAGTGAGTGCACCTAAGTTTTATGTAGATTTGAGAAAAAATAATTGGTTTTCTTGTGCAACCAAAGTGCAGCCATAGTGGTTATTAGATTATTGGCAATTATTTATTTTAAGTGTACTTCTTGAGAATGTATTTGAAAGATAAAAACTAGTGTAAATGTAGCATGGGGATTATGTAATATCAGTAACAAAGCTGTGGGAACACGTTTCAGTTGGGGGAGGGGATGCTGTGGGAATTTGTAGGACTGTAAACACCCATATTATCAATATCAAATATCTGCATCGAAATGCACATCGGCATTATATGTTGTCTTATTTAAATATGAATATTAAAAAATGTACTTTTGTTTGGATAATATCTTTAAAATTGGTCCGTGTACTTTTTGGTAAATATCAATTTTTGTTTTAAAAGCAGATGTTTAAAAATGTAAAATGACCGTTTTCAATACCTGTTTTTAAAATCATAAAATAAATAACCAAAAAGTACACGATGCAACCTTAATCTGCCGGCATTTATTTTTTTTTTAATAATGCATTTTGGACATGCGTGCCCTCTAGCATCCATCAGGGAGCGCTGCAGCATCCTCCACATCCCAACATCCCACAGCCTGTTCAAGTAATTCAGTTACTATAAAGATGATTTACAAACGTCTGTATTACTGAAATAACTGGATGTTTTTACTCTTCTTTTTTTTCTGTGTGTGTAATTGTGTCAGGAAACATTTGCGGAGTGTTTGATATTCAGTTTTAAGAAGGAATTTGCAGTAAATTATTGCTGAAGATGTTCTTCCGTTTTCTGTAAGTCGATACTCATCAGTGACGGTTACCAAAGCTTTTGTAGTTTAACAACCCCCCCCCACACACACACACACACACACACACACACAAATACTCATCAGTGACGGTTACCAAAGCTTTTGTAGTTTAACAACCCCCCCACACACACACACACACACACACACACACACAAATAACCCACTGGTACAGTTTTATTGCTACTCATGGGATACATGTACAACAAGAGCAAAAAATAACAATACTTCGCAGAAAGAGAATGTACTTTAAAATGTTTTTATTTTCACTCAAAGTGGTCTTTTACTTTTTTTTCCTGTTTAATATGTGTGTTTCTGTATAATGGGGCTCATTAAGGGACCGTCACATTAACCTGTAAATCATCATCTATGCAGTTTGGTAAATATGTTGCATCTAAATGATTCTGTTTACATCTTGTCATGTGGGATGATTCACTTGAGTTATGTGTAGATTTTTTTAAGCATCTCAAAGGAAATCAGACCACTGTGCTACAGCTATAATGGATTTAAGACTTTCCTTCTTTTGTTTTTTTTATTATTATTTGTTTGATTGTTTTGGTGAAATCTTTTTTCATGAATGTACTTGAACTTGATCAGCTGTCTTGGTCTCGACACCCAGGTGTCTCACTGACCGACACAATCTGAATCATTGGGTTTTGGGGGTGCTTTAAGTCTGGAATTTTATTATTATTATTATTTATTTATTGTATTTTTTAATCTAGTTGAATGTATTCAACTTATTTTTAAAGGTTTTCTGTATGATTTGCACCCGAGCAGGTCACATAATAATTAGAAACTCATATTTAGCATTAATGCTGCGTTGCTAAAAAAAAAAAATTAAAGCCAAAACATTGCAAATTTAAAGAATTAAAATAACTTTTACTTTCTAGTCACTGCTACTGTAGAAGACAAACGTGACAGGACTGCGGTCGATGTATATAAGCTTTTATCTTCAGCTCTGTTTGATTCAAAATTTGTTTTCATTTGACTTTTTAAGTCCTGCTGTGATTAATGTTTAAGATGTTCTGTCAGTGCTTCTGATTCATTTTTTACTGCATTTAAAACTATGTTTGTCTCATCTGATGACGTCTTTCCTCTCAAGTCATCAAGCCTTTTTTTTACACAATGAATAACAAACGACGTCTAAGTCACATGCTGCAGAACATATTTTTTTGAGCATGTTGGTTTTTTTTTTTTATCTCTGCTTGTTTTTTTTTTTTTTAAACAGTGCAAGAGGGTCTAATTTTAGAACAGAAGCCATGTCACTAACTTTATTTGTGGTTTAAAGTTGCCCCCTGCTGGACATGTTTCAAACTTCCTAATTCTTATAAAGGAATTTTATATTTTTTTTATTGGCTACATAAAATTTCTCCTTTTTTTCTGCTCATTCTGTCTTCCCATCTCTGTAATTTTCATATTTAGCTTTACGGGCTCCAAGCAGAGACAATTACCCCGATCTTGATGAGATTTAAACGAGACAGCGCCGACAGATTAATGTGATCTAAACAGTTTTTTTTGTTGCAGCGCGCTGCTGAGAGCAACTCCCTCTGCGTATTAAATTTAGCTCAGATTGATATTAATACGCGCCACTTTGCTGCTTCCATTTAACTAAACAGTTTGACGAGAAGGGAAGGACACTAACGCCGCAGCTCAGTTCAGCCAAAAACATTTCCCATCTCACCAGGGTAAAATTCATTTATTCGAAGTGAAAAAGCAGGACGGAGCTGAAACAGCTTGATGCAAAACTCACTTAAATTAATCACCTTCGCACGTKGACATATTTTATTCTTTTTTTCTTGTGTTTCACAGTAATGTAAGCTGATCTCGTTGCCATGTGTAATCTAATCTTGTAAGTAAGCTTGTAATGAGGGGAAATATGGATCAGCCTCTCAGCACAGACCCCCAGATTAAAAATGTCTGCCTGCTGACTTCACTCAAACGGCCGTTTTGCTCCTGCAGAAGCTCACGCCGTGCTGAGTGACTTTAATGTCTGGGTTTTTTTTTTTGTTTGTTTTGTTTTTCCAGAAGTTTTTGTTTGGCTGAATGACTACCTCAGTTCTTTGGTTTACTGCATGTGTACGTGATTAGAAAATGAAAAAAAAAACTGTTGCCTTGGAAAATAGAAAACCTCATGCAAGAACACCTCCACGCAGGTTAGATGTTGACGGTGTGAGTCACCTCGCTGACGCTGACAGCTGAAATGAGGGGCATTAATGTGCCTTCTTCTGGYGAGTTTAACTCTGTTCTTTGCAGAATCTTTTATTTACACTGATTAATGCCATCTGCCTTCTTTTTTTTCTGTGTGCAATAAATGTTCTTAAGTGCTTTAATTATTTCTCGTGCTCGGTTTTGTTTGCTGCAAAAAAAAAACAAAAAACGCTAAGTTCTTCCAGAATTAATCTAATTTGCATCTGTGCATCTTTTATTCAGGTGTCTAATAGTTTAAACTTGTTAAACTCTGCAGTGGCCAAGAGGCACAACACAGACCAAATTCTACAAAACGCCTATAAAATGGTTGTATGGAAGCCCATTTCTGCCACCCTGATAAAAAAAATAAAACTTGTATCTCATAATTATGACTTAGATATCTCATTATTATGACTTAGCTATCTCATTATTATGAGATACTATCTCATAATTATGTAATTATGACTTAGCTATCATAATTATGAGATAGTATCTCATAATTATAACTTAGCTGGGTAGAGTTTGCGTGTTCTCTCCGTGCATGCGTGGGTTCTCTCTGGGTACTCCGGCTTCCTCCCACAGACCAAAAACATGACTGTTAGGTTGATTGATAACTCTAAATTGTCCCTAGGTGTGAGTGAGAGAGTGAATGGTTGTTTGTCTCGTTTGTTTCTATGTGTGGCCCTGTGATGGACTTGCGACCTGTCCAGGGTGTACCCCGCCCCTCGCACTGTGACTGCTGGATATGGGCACCAGTGACCCACGCAACCCTGAAAAGGAAGAAGCGTGTACAGAAAATGGATGGATGGATGGATAATTATGACTTAGCTATCTCATAATTATGACTTAGCTATCTCATAATTATGAGATACTATCTCATAATTATGAAATTATGACTTAGCTATCATAATTATGAGATACAAGTTTTATTTATTTTTTTATCAGGGTGGCGGAAATGGGCTTCCATAGCATCACTGCATTCACAAGTTGAGTTAAAAATCTATCATCTAAAATAGAGGAGCCCAAAGTGAGGCCCGCGGGCCAAATTTGGCCTGCCAAGCCATTTGATTTGGCCCACCAACCGTTGCCAAAGTTACAAGGTTGTAACCTGTTACTCTACGTAGAAACACAGTGTTTCTATTGGTCAAATGACTATGTATAAAAGGGCTGTAGTGAAGGTAGTTTTCTTTCATGGTGCTGACTTTATCTTTGATTTATTGGGATTAAACATGAAATGATAAGAAATATTTAGATCAGATTTAACTCCACATGTAGATTTTCACACTTTATAAGGCCACAAAAACTCATATTTGATCAATTTATGAAATGTTCCATGAGCATTTGCTACTTGAGCGTATGGCAGACTTTCTCCAAGTGCACAGACTAAAACAAAAGAGGGCCATTGCACAGCTTGATTGTTAAAAWTAAAGGACTTTACTTAAAAAAACATTTGTATTTCATGTATTATATTACTGCATTTGGCCCGCAGCCGTGGATAGATTTTCATTTTGGCCCCCTCGGGGAAAATGTTTGGGCGCCCCTGATCTAAAAGCTGATTTTTGATTCAACGGTCCTGTCTTGTTCAGACCGTTTACACTCCATGGAGTTGATTGAAACGTGGTGAAAGCTGAACATAATTAAAAATGATCAGGCATGTCATGCGGCGACAAAACCGCACACCTGAAAATGCGTGTGCATTATCTGAGTCAACGAGGGGAGAAATCCCTCTGCTTGTTATCAGTGCACGGTTCAGAAACAAGCACCGGTGATGATGTGGTGCAGCTGCAGTGCAACTTGACAGCCAGGGTCTGAAAGCATCATAAATATCTACACAGCAAAAGATTTGGACCTTACTTATAAAAACTGCAACGAGGGATGATCCTTGTTTAAAAAAATAAATGAGTCAAATGTATTATAGGTCAAATGTGGGGTTGTATTAACTCTTAGAGTATGTTAACTTTCAACTACTACCATGCCAAATTTTATCTCAGTATCTATGAAAGCAACTTGGCTATAATCATTTTTGTGTTTGCTAATGTTGATAAACCATGGCAGCCATCTTAAATGAGACTGACACCAAAAGTTTATCAGTTGTGTACCCACTTCCTGTGATGACTTCCTGAAAGTTTTGTTAAAATCCATCCAGTGGTTCATGAAATATTTTGCTAACAGACAGCAGTGTTGACACTAACTTGATGGCAAAGATGTTGCACCATGTGTTAGACTCTTAATATGGGTTAAGGATGACTATCAGTAACTACCACAGTGAATTTTAACTCATTATCTCTGAAAGAGACTGAACTATATTCATTTTCGTGTTTGCTAAGATTGATCAACTGTGGCAGCCATCTTAAATTAGACTGGCACCAAAAGCTAATCAGTTGTGTACACACATCCCGTGATGACTTCCTGAAAGTTTTGTTAAAATCCATCCAGTGGTTCATGAAATATTTTGCTAACAGACAGCAGTGTTAACACTAACTTAATGGCAAAGATGTTGCACCATGTGACTCATCTCTAAATCTTTTTTTTAGTATTTGTACAGCCACACTCTGGGGGTCACCCTGTCAATGAAGCCAAATCTCACATCAGATGTTATCCATTTAATGAAATATAATAATCACATTTCAAACATTTTTTAATTTTTTTTTACAGATTTACAAAATGTACTAAAGTCAGCGTGACTTGATGATGTTTTCATCCTCTTTTCATTTTATTCGTTTGAGGTATGATATGGAGATATTAAATATGTTCGGTTTTTTACAACGCAGACAACATAATAGGAAA